ACTAAAGTTAAAAAACAGCAATAATTAAAACCTATGAAAAAAAACCAGATAGTTCTTGCGATGAAACAATGACAGACAAAGAGGTTCTTAAAGTAAGAGGCGGTAAAATGGAATAGCTCAATTAGACAAGAATGCACATGGGACCGCCTAGTTTGCGGCGAGCTCATGCGCCGTACTCGCGAATAATTAACAGAGGAGGAGACACAACCAACGGACACTTACGTTGGGTTCAAGTTCCTTGATAGCAGCGTTCGCATCGTCCGTATAATCCAGTTTTAGCGACGTTTGCAGATCCATGTATGCCGACTCCCAATTCCCAAGTAACCTTTACAGTCGGCTAGAAATGGGTTAACATACTTGTTCGCGAAGCCACGCCATTTGTATGCTAGAGCAGAGTCGGGATTCATTGAGATTGCTTTGTCACAATCCCTGATGGCAGCCTTTGGCCGTTGAAGTTTTACGTAGCAGCTACCAAATTACAACAAATTTAAGTAACTTACGCGGCCCTTTTTGCGTAGCACATAGAGAGCTGGGGGTTGGCCACAATGGCTTCAGTGTAGAGGTTCGCAGCAGCCTCAAAATCTCCTGCAGAACAATAGTCACTGTTACATATACTTACCATCCGAAAACTTCGCCTGCGCCTCGGATCGCTTCTCAGAGGCTTTATCGGCCATTTCCTCGGTAACTTCGACAGAATCATCTCCCATTGGAGGAAGCTCAGTAGATTCCGGGGGCACTACACCTGTTGTGTCAAACTCTAAAAAGCGTTATCAGTTTAAGACTGCTGCAGCAAGTGAGCTTACCAAGTTCCGACTCTTCACTCTCTGGAGCCTCCTCTTCAACTGGAGACGCCTCCTCTTCCTCCTCAGATGAACTCTCGAACATTTTTTCCGTATCTTTCTTACCCTCTTTCGGAATATTGGCGCCCATACTAAAAGGCGAGAATTCGAAATATGCTATGCAAATCGTACGAAACAAGATAATCCTTCAGAAAACTCAGCTCCGGAGTATGAAGAAGGTCTGGGTGCTGCCTCAATACGGCAATGAAGTCCTTTGCCTGCTTAAGCGCTTCAGGTGGAAACATGCTGCAACTCATGATTAACGAAAATTCTCGAAGGTCGCGGCGCCAACCTGCGTTTCACACTACTTGCAAGGTCAAGCAGAACAATGTCCAAGCTTCAGAAGTCAAGATAGTCATGTAAAAATCAGAACAGCATGTTTCATGTTTCATCAATAGAGGGTAGGGAACGGATCCGTGTAAACC